GACTCTCTTCCCCTAGACAACACCAACCAGCTCCACCAGAGTATGCAGAAGAGGAAGATATTGAGCTGGAACCCGTGGTAGCAGCAGTACCAATAAGCATACAGGCCTGTCGCATCTTACACGCATTTAACATGCGCGATTTCAACTTTACGCGGTCGGCAAAAACAAAAAACAAAAAAAGAGAAAAATAACAATTTTAATACAGTACCTGTAGTGCGGGCGATTCCACCCTCCATTGAACTCAATGTAATTTTGACTATACACGGTTTTCGCTTTACACGCTAACCGCAGCACGGAATCCCCATGTAAGATGAGACAGACCTGTATCATCATTCTTACCTGATGAGGTTAGCATCCTATATTCGCCATCCCTGACTGATGACAACAGGCAATACCAAGAACTCTTGCGGAGGGTAGCGGCTGACCTCCAGATCCCACTTCAGCATAAGCTCCTGGGCATCCTGCAGCCTACTCGTCTCAATCAAGTGCCTCTCCCTCTAAATGAGGCCATTGTGGAACCTGCCAGGGTGATGTAGCACACACCTGCCTCTTGCACTGCTACACCTAAAGGGGCTGAAAGATATTTTGTACCTACCAAAAGTAGAGGAATTTTTGTTCACCCACCCTGCCCGCAACTACCTAGTTGTACAAGCAGCCTTAGAAAGGTCCAGGCAGCAACATCTCAAGACTACCACTGCAGACAAGGATGCTTAATGTGTTGACCTGGGGAAGAAGGTATTCTCACCAACCAGCCTCCAGTTTAGAATTGCTAAGTACCAGGCTCTGTTAACGAAGTATGATTTTACGAAGTACTCCAAGTTCCTGAAGTTTAAGGAGAAACTCCCTCAGTGACAGAAGGTCCAATTTCATCCACATTGATGAGGGTAAACTGGTAGCAAAGACATAGTGGACATGGCTAATACCACATCTAAAGCCATAGCAACTGTAAAAGTTATGCAGTGTGAATTGTGGCTTCACTCTTTGGGACTCTCAAGGGAGGTTCAGAATACCATCAAGGATCTTTCCTTCAAGTCTAATCTTTTTAACAAGAACACAGATGAATCCTTACACTCAATAAAGGACTCCAGGACAATCCTCCATTGCAATGGCATTTATTTCCCAGCCTGTAAGAGGAAATACTATAAACAGCTGTAGAAGCCAATTCCTCTCCCACTATCTTTCTACCACCTTCTCCATACAGACTGTGCTGCAAGTGCCAGAAGATCCGAGGACCAAAATATGTAGCCTCATCCACCTCGATATCAGCCACCCAACCTCATTCACCAGCAAAGGGTTACTTTTGCTGGGACATTCAAGAGTTGCAAACCATCACAGACACCATCCCCTGCTGCTTCCTAAACCTTTAGTGGCTGCCTAGCATACTTCGCCGACAACTGGAGGGCCATAACAATGGACAAATGGGTACTAGATATCATGCACTCTGGCTACATCTAGTTTCTTTTCCAATCCCTCTTCAGAGACCACTCTCACAAGGAAATCCTCCATCAGGAGGCAGACTCTCTCCTCACAAGGGGCTATAGAGTGAGTGCTTCCTGCACATCGGGGGAAAGGGTCCTATTCCAAGTATTTCTTATTTCCCAAGACAAAGGGAGGATGGATACTAATTCTTGACTTGTCAGCTAAATATTTTTATTTGCAAATTAAAATTAGTTTTGCTTACATTGGCATCCATAATTCCCTCCCTCGAAAAAGATACAGGGCTTGCGGTTCTTGACATGAAAGATGCTTTACTTTCATGTGAACTTTCACCCATCCTACAGATTAGCACCTAGGGTCCTCACAAAGGTCTTTTCAGTGGTAGCAGCAGAGATGAGATGAAACGACTCCACCATTTTCCCATACCTAGACGACTGGCTCCTAACAGGCAGACGCAGTTGGGAATTTCACGTGGCAATCTTATACTTGCTCCATCTTCTGGCATCTTCGGGAATCTGCCTAAATATGGAGCGATCCACCTTGATTCACTCTTTCTAGGTGTGACCCTAGACTCAACCTCAGCAAGGGTCTGCCTCCATCTGGACAGATTCCAGGCTCTGAACAGCCTAATCAGACAAGTCACTCACAGACCTCGAACTACAGTCAAGGTCTGTCATTCCCTGCTAGGACACATGTCCCCTTGTACTTACGTAACACTATTCACCAAACTTCACCTCTGCTGTCTACAGGCCTGGCTTTGGTCTGTTTACTTACCAGACAGATATAGCATGAATCCCAAGGTGACAATCCATGCCAATCCCTTCCTTCACCTGACTGAAAAATCCAGAGCAAATGCACTCCAAAGTACCTTTCCTCCCTTCCACACCCGACATGATTACAATATAGATGTATGCCTCATGGACTGGGATGCCTACATGGGTGACTGTACAACACAAGGTACATGGACACCTTGGGAGGACAGGATGCATATCAATTTCCTGGAAACAAGAGCAGTCAGAAAGGCCTGCAATGCATTCCTCCCACCTGTGCAGTCCCAACATGTCCAGATAATGTTGGACAACATGACTGTCTTTTACATAAACAAACAAGGAGGAGAAGTGGTACACTCATGGCATTGATATATCTGGAACCACGTCACACTCTCAGCGACATAATTCCCAGGCATACAAAACTTGCTGGCAGAGAATTTCAGTGGGTACTTCTCCACTGACCATGAGTGGGAGGTTACATAATTCTGTGCTCAACAAAATCTTCACTCATTGGGAAACACTATCTTCGGACCTTCAAGAAGAAAAAGAAATTCAACATACATAGGTCAGGATTCCAAGACCAGTACACTTCTGATATCCTGAGGTAGACCACCTGAGGGTATGCCTTTCCACCCATTTCATTACTACCCCAGGTTCTGCAGAAAATTTGCCACAACAAAGCATGAGTCATTCTCAGTGCACCCAACTGACCCAGGCAATTCTGGTTTCCAGACTTCCTGTGAATGTTAACCACTCCTCCCATCAGCATCTGACCCTTCCTGGATCTGCTAACTCAGGAGAACAGTGGGCTCAGATATCCCAACCTGGACTCTGTTCACCTCATAGCCTGGTATTTGGATGAGCTTTCATTTTCCAAGGCTGTTAAAACTATTCTCAATCACAGTAGAAAAAACTCCACCAGAAAATGTTATCTAGCTAAATGGAGGCATATCTCTACCTGGCTGCAACAAAACTAGTTGTCCCCATATACTGCAGGTATTCCAGACTACCTCCTTACTCTCAAGACATCAGGCCTTTTTATTAGCTTGCTATAGATCAACCTAGCAGTGCCCAGTGCCTTTCACCATTGGGTAGAAAGCTACTCTGCTTTTACTCACTCATAACAACTAGATTCCTGAAGTGTCTCATTAGGATCTTCCCACCAACACTGTAATGGGACCTCAACCTTGTACTCTACTTACTAGGCCATGCTTTGAACCACTGGCCACATGCTCAGTATCCCACATGTCTATGAAGGTCACTTTCCTTATTGCTTTCATGTCGGCGAGAAGATAAGCTGGGGTCACTCACGGCCCACACTCCATACAGTACTTTTGATAAAGAGAAGGCATCTCTTCATCTCCACCTGAAATTTATTCCTAAATTAATTTCCAAGTTCCACATAAATCAATCAATTTACTTGGCGGTTTTCTTTCCAAAACCTCATGCCTTCAGCAAGGAAAGGAGGCTTCACCTCTCTGTCAGATAAGCTTTGGCATTCTATCTGCAAAGAGTGAAACCAATTAGGAAAACCACTTAGATTATTAGTTGCTATAGCAGAATAAACACAGGGTCAAGCAATGTTTGCTCAGAGACTCTAAGTGGATTTCTGGCTGTTTCCTCCTTGCTTTCAGCTAGCACAGTTCCCTGCCTTGAATGGGATGAGGACCCATTTCACTAGAGCACAGATTATTTCAGTAGCATGTCTCCGAGAAGTGCCTATGCTGAACATGTATAAGGCAGCAATCTGGAGTTGCAGCCACACCTTCATAAAGCATTAAGCTTTAGTCCAAGCCTCTTCTGCTGATTTCAGTCTTTGGAACAGCAATATTACAGAATCTATACCCTCTGCAGCTTTGCACCTCCTTCCTACTTTACTGCTTACCAGTCACCCACGTATGGAATGCATGTAGGACCAGCACTCAAAGAAGAAATGGAAACTACTTACCCGTAACTGGAGGTTCTTTGAGAGGTGTGGCCCCTATATGTATTCCACTACCTGCCCTCGTTCCATTCTGCTTTGGATCATGACTGGATTTGTAGTAGAGAAGGAACTGGAGAGGTGGTCAGTCTGCACCTCCCCTTACACTTTGGATACTGAGCACAAGAATCTCCAGGATGCAAGGGTTGACCAATAGACTCTGCTCACAAGATTTTCCAGTCTCAGGTGCACTGTGCTCATGAGTACCCACATGTGGAATACAGATAGGGACCACATATCTCAAAAAACCTCCAGTTACAGTTAAGTAACCTCCATATCTTCTTTCAAGGTGTATGGTGGAAACCCAGTTGCTTTTTACATTTGAATCTAGAATGAATAAATGACTAGAAGTTAGAATGTAGGGAACAATAATACACTGTTAAGAAGGTGGACTAGATGACCCGACAGCTCGTCTTTATCTTTAATTTTTATGATGCAATAACTCCTTCTGCCAACTGCATTATCCTTCCATATTCCAGTGCTAACCGTGCTGTTGAAAATGCTGGCAAAGCTATGAAATTCGTCAAGTTATGTTGCATTTGTTTTGTGAATCTGAACATCATCACTGTGAGGGTGTTGCCAGTGTTCTCAACAGTATCTGTTGATCGGAAAGGTAGCTCACTAAACGGTGCAAGATATTCCTCATTGCTTAAAAATATTTTTGTAGTTTGTTTTCAAAGGAAAATGGACAGAGAGATGAAACAGCAGAGACACAAGTTTAAGGTGATCAAGGACTTTCCCCTGAACCCAGAAATTTCTACAGCAGTCCTGGGTGTTCATGTACAGTTATTTACCATGTGTCCCTCTTTCAGGCTGTATTCGACGTTCCCCTTGCTGTTCAGTGAATACCACAAAGTTTCCAGGCAAAACATGGTGGAACCTGAGGAAAACATGCTACAAAATTGTTGAACACGACTGGTTCGAAAGCTTTATCATATTCATGATTCTGCTAAGCAGTGGAAGTCTGGTAAATTTAACTTACTCTCATATCAGGTTGAATTATAAATGATTTTTAGCACAGGAAAGAGGGTGTATTTTCAAAGCTGATGGGGGGAGAAGAAGAAGAAAACTGGCCTAGTAAAGGGCTAACTTATTTTTTATAATAATTAGAAAATACAGCAAGTTGAATGACAGAATGAGCAACTCTAACAAGCTGTGATGATTTCTATTCTGGTTGTATATTGGTTTTTCTGAAGCTTTGTCTGGCAGTTATTTCACACACAGAGACTATCATTTTTATGTTCATCATTAAGACCAAAGAGTCTTTCCTGGTGCTAATTCTCTTGGAACACTAAACTGAATCTACTTTTGAACTAGATTTTTGTATCCATCTGAAAAAATACTCCCCTAAAAATTACTGAAAATAAAACTCCTCAGGACAGAAGTGTAGTGTGTCTGTGTGTAAATGTTACAAGTTAGTAAGTTAGTGTAAATTAAATAAGTCTAAAGGGAGCTAGGTTTGTGTAACTTACATATTGAGGGGCCGGAAGATTTAATTAACTTTGTCTCCCTCTTGACTTACACTGTCTTAGACTTGGGATGCCCTGCACCTTTAAAAGGTTTGGTCACACTGCACTCAGTTGCAGAGCCTCACTTTTATGTTAGTTTCTGTTTTGCTGCCAAAACAATAAAGTGGTCAGCTGTATTTAAATTAGCAATCCCTAAGTCTATCTTCTTGTCTTCTGTTTCCAAATATAACATGGGAGCTTCTAACCCATGGCTGTCCAGTGCTCTTGCTGCCTGCCCAAGGAGAAAAAGTAACTAAATAATATTATTTTAAAAAGGAAAAAAATTAACTTTGAGGCACAAGGTAGCAGACTGAAGCTTTTGTCCCACGGGGACAGTGTCAGCCAGCTAGAAAAACAGGGAAAGTAGGCAAATAGGGCAGAACAAAGAAGGAAGCAGTTGCAGTTGCTGCTGAGCTGCCAGAGACAGAGCAGCGAGGATGAAGCAGCCATCTTGGATGACCTCATGCAAGAAGACAGAGACAGCTTTAGCCTGCACTGAGGGTATACAGTCAGAGGGAGCCCAAGTACTGTCAAAGGAGTGATTCTGCTGTGTAAGCACACAGCCAGCAAAGGGAGATCAAGTACAGACAGTGCATGGTAAAAAAAAAAAAAAAATCAGTGGAAAAGCAGATATCCAAGAGGGTGTGTAGTTCAACAGGACAGAAGTAAAATGGCAACTCTTCTGGGCAATGTTAGTGAATTTGAAGAGAACCGTGAATCATGAGTTGTGTACTTCAAGCATTTTGAGCAATTTGTGACCTGCAATTCCATTCCAGATGTACAATGAGTTTCAACCTTGCTGATAGAGATGGGTCCTAAGGCATACAGACTGCTGCATGATCTACTATATCCAGCTATGCCTGGAACTGCCACATATGCTGCAGTTACTGCAGCAATGCAGGAATATTTCTCTCCTACCCATCAATAATAGCAGAATAACAGCGGGTCCATCAGAGACATCAGGAAAGAGGAGTCAGTGAAACAGTTTGTTGCTCCTCTAAAGACAGTGCTCAGAGCATTGTCAGTGTGGACGAACATTAAGTGATGCCTTGTGTCACCAGTTTGTCTCTGGATTACACGACTAGATCCAGAAGAAGTTACTGACTACCTGTATATCAGTGTTACATTCAAGAAGGCTATTGAGGTAGCTATTGCCATGGAAACCACAGAGGATTCTCTGGAATTTAGTGTGAACCAAGAGGTACATCTCATGAATTGGTGAGACAGAGGACCATGAGAATGCAAGTCATTTCTGTGTGGCCATTGTGCACAAACTGCACATGCTAAGAAGGATTGCTGGGTATATCTGGTCATTTGGAGAAAGTGCCAGGAGAAAGGAAACATTGTGGTTACCTGTTGCTCTGTTCAACATCCAACAACACAGAGTAACCATCCATCCAAGAGCACATGTATGAAGACTGAACCTAAGAAAGTATAGAAGTTGGGAATTCATAATGTGGAAAAAGTCAAGAGCTCTAGTGGCACTGACCAAACCATAGCACTTCATGTGTTATTGGAAGCTGGAGAAAGAGATGTCATCTGGGTCACACCATTGATTGAGGGAGTTCCTACAAGAATGGAGCTTGGCATCAGAGCTGCCGTCGCACTGATTTCTGCATCTGCCATCACCAGATTTTTTCACAAGTTCCTCTGGAAGAAAACCTCTCCAGTTTTGAAGACTTTTATACCAGGGAAAAGTTAAGAGATACTCCTTGTATGTGATTGAAGTAAAGTATCCATCACTATTTGGCAGGACTTGGCTTGAGAAGCTCAAGGTGAATTGGACCAAGATCAAGGTGATCATAAAAGCATCTCAGAATCTTCAAGAAATACTGGACAGACCCTCCAAAGTTTTTGAAAAAGAATTTGGACAGATAAGCAACATGTCAGTGAAGTTCACTGGTAAGTCTAACAGCCAGATGAAATATTGCAAGCTCAGAGTTGCACTTTATGTTCTGACGCCTCTGGTGGAAGTTCATTTGGACCGTTTAGTGAACATCGGAGTCGTTTTACACACAGTGAGTGGGCTACCCATTGTATCAGTGATCAAGAATGATGGCTCCATTCGAATTTGCAGAGATTTCAAAGTGACAGTGAATCCAGTTTTATGTGCAGATCAATATCTACTTCCTTGTACCAAAGATTTGTTTGCTACTCTTAGTGGAAGACAGTGTTTCAGCAAATTGGATTTGTTTAATGCATACCTACAAATAGATTCAAAGATGGATAGACTTTAACGTCAGAAGGGACTGTCGTGATCATCTAGTCTGACCTCCTGCACATTGCAGGCCACTGACCCTCACCCACCCACTCCTGTAATAAACCCCTATCCTGTGGCTGAGTTACTGAAGTCCTCAAATTATGGTTTAAAAAATTCAAGTTACAGAGAATCCACCATTTACACAAGTTTAAACCTGCAATTGACCTCTGCCTCATAGGAAGGCAAAAAATACCAGTCTTTGCCAATCTGACCTAGGGGAAAATTCCTTCCCAACCCCTCATATGGCAATCAGTTAGACCCTGAGCATGTGGGAAAGACTCACCAGGCATATACCTGGGAAAGAATTCTCTGTAGTAACTAAGAGCCCTCCCTATCTAGTGCCCCATCTCTGGCAATTGGGGATATTTGCCACATGCCATTGTAGACAGTCCCATCATACCATCCCCTCCCTAAATTTATCAAGCTCAATCTTGAAGCCAGTTAGATTTTTTGCCTCCACACTGCTCCCCTTGGAAGGCTGTTCCTGAACTTCACTGCTCAATGGTTAGAAACTTTCATCTAATTTCATAGATTCTAGGACTGGAAGGGACCTCGAGAGGTCATCGAGTCCAGTCCCCTGCCCGCATGGCAGGACCAAATACTGTCTAGACCATCCCTGATAGACATTTATCTAACCTACTCTTAAATATCTCCAGAGATGGAGATTCCACAACCTCCCTAGGCAATTTATTCCAGTGTTTAACCACCCTGACAGTTAGGAACTTTTTCCTAATGTCCAACCTAGACCTCCCTTGCTGCAGTTTAAGCCCATTGCTTCTTGTTCTATCCTCAGAGGCTAAGGTGAACAAGTTTTCTCCCTCCTCCTTATGACACCTTTTTATATACCTGGAAACTGCTATCATGTCCACTCTGTCTTCTCTTTTCCAAACTAAACAAACCCAATTCTTTCAGCCTTCCTTCATAGGTCATGTTCTCAAGACCTTTAATCATTCTTGTTGCTCTTCTCTGGACCCTTTCCAATTTCTCCACATCTTTCTTGAAATGCGGTGCCCAGAACTGGACACAATACTCCAGCTGAGGCCTAACCAGAGCAGAGTAGAGCGGAAGAATGACTTCTCGTGTCTTGCTCACAACACATCTGTTAATACATCCCAGAATCACGTTTGCTTTTTTTGCAACAGCATCACACTGTTGACTCATATTTAGCTTGTGGTCCACTATAATCCCTAGATCCCTTTCTGCCGTACTCCTTCCTAGACAGTCTCTTCCCATTCTGTATGTGTGAAACTGATTTTTTCTTCCTAAGTGGAGCACTTTGCATTTGTCTTTGTTAAACTTCATCCTGTTTAACTCAGACCATTTCTCCAATTTGTCCAGATCATTTTGAATTATGACCCTGTCCTCCAAAGCAGTTGCAATCCCTCCCAGTTTGGTATCATCCGCAAACTTAATAATCGTAATAATAATAATCAAGCCTAAACTTGTTGCTGGCCAGTTTGTATCCATTTGTTTTTGTGTCCACATTGGTGCTTAACTTAAATAACTCCTCTCCGTCTCTGAAATGTATTTAGAGAGAGCAATCATATCTCCCTTCAAGCCAAGCTCTTTGAGTGTCCTCTCATAGGGTAGGTTTTCCATTCCTTAGATCATCCTAGTAGCCCTTTTCTGCACCTGTTCCAGTTTGAATTAATCTTTCTTAAACATGGAAGACCAGAATTGCACACAGTATTCCAGATGTGGTCTCACCAGTGCCTTCTATAATGGTACTAACACTTCCCTGCCTCTACTGGAAATACCTCTCCTGATGCATCCTAGGACTGCATTAGCCTTTTTCACAGCCACATCACATTGACAGCTTATAGTCATCCTGTGATCAACTAATACACCCAGGTCTTTCTCCTCCTCTGTCACTTCCAACTGATAAGTCCCAAATGTAGATCAGTATGACATCTAACAAACATCTCACAATCAACATGGAAGAAAAAGCTTATTTTGCTATCAGTTGCCGTTAGGGAAGATGCCAATGTGATACCAGTTCTAGAAGGCCATGGATAAAATTCTGAAGGGACTGAATGGAAATCAGTGCTATTTGGACAACATCCTTGTTACAGGAAAGGAACAGCAAAGCCGGATCATCTTCAAAATTTGGATGCTGTCTTGCAACATTTGGAAGACAATGGAGTGAGAGTATGTCAAGACAAAGATGAGCTTTTTTTTCAGACCTTCAGTTGAATACTTTCGGCATGGAATTGATGTGATGGGCTAAAGGAAATTGCCAAAGAAAGAGAAGGCAATTCTTCAAACACTACCGCCAGAGAACATGTCACAGTTGCATTCATTCTTAGGACTGCTTAATAACTAGGGTAAATTTCTGCCTAAACTGGTGACAGTATTTGCATCTTTGCAGGAACTGTTACAAACAATAAATGGAAATGGACTAAAGAATGTGTGTGTGCATTTAAGGAGGCAATGAAACTGTTGGGATCAGCCCAAGTTCTCACTTTGATGCCTCATTACCATTGCAATTGGCTTCTTATGCGTCACCATATGGAGTGAATGGTGTTCTTTTCCATATTTTTGCTGACAACAGAAAGAAACCAATTGCCTTTGTTTCACAAACACTCACCACCCTTGAGAAGAACTATGTACAAACAGAGCAAGAAGCTCTCAGCATTATCATCAGAATTTGGATGTTCCATACTTGTCTGTATGGTAGACATTTTACCTTGCTAACAGATGACCACCCATTATTTTCAATTTTTGGACTGAAACGTGGCTCCATCATTAGCTGCTGTTCATCTGCAACAATGGGTGTTACTACTTTCAGCTGATTTCTATACTATTCAATTATATAAAGGGACTCAGCATGGCAATGATGATGGGCTGTCATATCTGTCATGCCCAAGCACCTGTCAATCCAAAGAAACTTCAGACGGAGTGTTTTATCTCAAATGTGAGGGATAGATTGCCTGTCAATAGCACAAAGAAGCTGTTAAGGATGATGTGCTTTCTCTTGTGAAGAGAATGGTACTACAAGGTACAGTGCTGGATCTTATGAATCCCCAGTTTACACAATTTGGGTCGTGTCAGCCTGAATTATCTGTGGATCAAGGTTGCATCTTATGGGGAATCTGAGTTATCCTTCCAAAATCAGTTCAGTCTCATGTTTTAGAAGCTCTTCATGATGGTCATTTTGGCACTGTATGGATGAAGGCTATAGTCTGGAGGTCTGTCTGGTGGCCAGGGGTAGATGACGACATTGAGAGGAAGGTGAAGTGCTGTACTACATGTCAGCAAATTCAGCATGATCCTGGCCCAGCATATTTACACCCTTGGTTCTGGCCTCAGATTACTTGGAGGACACATGTTCATGTGGACTTTGCTGGACCATTAGAACATTATATATATATATATGATCATAGTTGACACCCATTTGAAATGGCCAGTTTTCAGAAAGCCTTCTAACACAGTTATCAAGACCATTGGACATCTTCATGCCTTGTTTAGTCAATTTTGTCTACTGTTACAGTTGGTGAGTGACAATGGACTTCTATTCTGTTCAGAAGAATTTCAGAGGTTCCTAGCATCAAATGGAATTCAGCACATATGTTCTGCTCCATACCATCTTGCTAAAAATGGACTAGTGGAACACTTTGTACGAACACTTAAGCAAGTTTATTTTGAGTCATCAGCAGAAATTGGACAATTTCTTGTTTGTCTGCAGGAGCACACCATGTGCTACTACCTTGCAGTCAACTGCAACTGTTTTTTTGAAGCAATCATTGGGTATCTTTTGGGACCTGCTATGTCCTGATGTTGCCTTATGTGTAATCAAATTCCATGCAAAGTGATTGATGACGTGAGGTTCATCATTGTTCTTTTCAAATAGGAGATGTAATGTGGACTCACAACTACAGTTGTTGAGTGAAATGGAAACTTGGGGAACTTGTAAAATGCATGAGACCTTTTTCCTTCATGTGATGGTACTTTGTGGAAATGACATCTGGACCAGTTGCAGCCTCAACAAGTACCAGAATCCATGACTATTCCAGCAGGACTCTCTGCTCCTCTGATCAAACCTCCTTCCATTCAACTCTTAATTTTCATGACTTCTTGGAACAAATTTTAGTACCGGACCCGGTTGATTCTGTACCACAGACTGTTCTTGTTGTACCAGACATTGCTTCCCCACCATCACCATGTTATCCCAAGAGAGTGCAAAAACCAGTGCTTGCACCTGAACTTATACATTGTTTAGTGTGACAAAGCTCTGTCCTTATCTCCGTGGGTCCCGCATTTCCTGGTGGATTTTGCTAGCCTCAGAGGCTCACTGTGACCCTTCGCATAGCCCTTGTCTCTCTAGAGACAAGGGTCACAGCCTATTGAGCCATTTTCATCATAAGCCAGCGAGGGAGGTGAGAAGCTATCCTCCCTTGCACAGTCTCTGTCTCCCAGTCTCAGTGATTAATCAGGAGGGGCAAGGGGGGAGCCCGGGCCCGCCTTCTACTCTGGGCTCCAGCCCAGGGACCCTAATAGTATCAGCTATGGTAGCTGATCTTTTAGAAACAGGACGCGTACAATTCCCTGAGCTATTTCCCCACAGCAGCCCCCACTTCCTCAAGATCCACTTCATCCTTACCTCAGGGCCTCCTTCCTTGTGCCTGATATGGTGTGTACTGCTCAGTCTCTCCCACAGCGCAACTTCCTCCTACAGCTCCTGACATGCACACCTCACTGACTAACTTGGGAGGCTTTTAACTAGTTCCAGCCAGCCCTTGATTGGCTTCAGGTGTCCCAATCAACCTAGCTATCTCCACTGCTTTCTAGAAGGATCTTAATTGGCCCCAGGTGTCTTGATTAACCTGGAGCAACTGCCATTTGGTTACCATGGTACCAGGGATTTGTTTAGCCTGGGGCTAACATACCTGTTCCTCACTACTTTACTATAGCCATCTGGCCTTGCCCTGTCACATTAACTAGAGATGCTATTCCAAGGTAGAATAATCCCTTGCAATTTAAGAGTCTGCAGTAGTCCACCCACAATTTTTAGTTAGGTTATATAGTGTTTTATGTTATCCACATAAATGATCATGTATATATGTTTGGAAAGTATTTTAATGGAGGGTGGAGAAATGAGATATTCTGCACCTTTACATAGTTTGGTCACTCTGCACTCAGTTGCAGAGCCTCACTTTCATGTTAGCAAAAACGAGGAGATACAGACTAACACGGCTACCACTCTGAAACTTGTCACCATGCAAGTCACTTTCATGTTAGTTTCTGTTTTGTTAGCAGAACAGTAAAACCACTACAGCAGACAGCCCCTCCCAGTCCCTATTCAAAGTAGCCATCCTTCAACAAAAAAACTTCAAAAACAGACTTCAAAGAGAAACTGCAGAGCTACAATTCATTTGCACATTTAATACCATTAATTTGGGCTTGAATAGGGACCGAGAGTAGGTAGCTCATTACAAAAGTAATTTTCCCTCTCTTGGTATTGACACCTCCTCATCAATTATTGGGAGTGGACCACATCCACCCTGACTGAATTAGGTCTTGTCATCACTGGTTCTTCACTTGTAAGGTAATTCCCTTCTCTTCATGTGTCAATATATTTATGCCCACATCTGTAATTTTCACTCCATGCATCTGAAGAAGTGGGGTTTTTTACCCACAAAAGCTTATGCCCAAATAAATCTGTTAGTCTTTAAGGTGCCACCGGACTCCTCGTTGTTTTTGTGATAGTTGTTCAGGTCTGTTTTTTACTGAGTCTATACCTCTTTACACTTGTATCAGGGTTCTCGTAGAGACAGGGGGTGCAACTCCCAAACCTCCACATGTAACATATTCAGTATCTGAGGGACATCACATCTACTGCTGCTCCCTCTCAAAATTCTCCTTCTAAGATTCTGATTTATCTGGGGGGTCTTCTTTATCTGAAGAAATATGTCAACTTTCCACAGGGGGTATGGCTAGAGCAGAAATGCACACACAGTTTTGGTTAAGAACCTGCTCTTCGCTTGTTGAAATAATCAATTATGTATGGTTACGTCATCACTAAAAAAGTGACCACGCACAATGACCTTTCAGCTTTCATACCTGGAGGATTCATAGATGCTAATGTAATATATGGAGAAGCATAAAATATAGCAAAGTTGGCATTTCCATCGCTCATCTTCACTGACTTTGTAGCTTCTCTTTTCCCATATCAATGTTGTCACACACATGTCTGCCAAAAATAGATTGCTGTGCCACAAAATACAAATTTACTACAGAAGTTCAACTGTATAATGGAGCAAGGACTCACTTTTTTTTTTTTATGTATGGTAATATTTTGTAGCCCCTCCCAAGTGTCTAATGTCCATTTCATCATGATTACCTTCAGAGTGACTACTTTTGTGTAAAGTTAAACTCTTGTGTAACTGTTCACAACATTACAATATTCCATTGAAATTCTGTAGAGTGGGTTTATATCTAAGCATTATTATTTCAGGCATTTGAAGATGTACATCTTGAGAAAAGAAAAAATATTAAAATTATGTTGGAATTTTTTGATAAAATCTTCACTTACATCTTTGTCCTGGAGATGTTTCTGAAATGGGTGGCTTATGGCTTCAAGAAATATTTCACCAATGCCTGGTGTTGGCTTGACTTCCTAATTGTAGGTGTAAGTATTGCATTTGATCAGTTTTGCGGACTGGATTACGTAGTATAGAACACCAGAATGTTCACTTTTTTTTTTTTTGGATGTCCCAAATTGAGGCACCTTCATTTGAAGGAGAACTGATTTTTAGAAAGTACCGAGCACCTACCCTTTGAAAAACCAGACCTTTCAAAGTGTCTCAATTTGGGCAATAAAAATAGTCATTTTGTTAAAATTTTGGCCTCAAAATTCCTACAGCTTTAATAATCTAAGGTAACATTAGTAACACAGGTCAAGTATATTTGTTTTGTTAAAATAGATTGGGTGAAATCTTGGCACCCCTGAAATCATTGAGTGTTTTATTATTAACTTCAATGTGGCCTGCATTTCACTCGTTATTTTATACCTCTTAGTGTCCCCTTAAGATGCATTTCTATTGTACTGTACAGGCTGCCATTTCATACTTTCACGGATAGGAGTTTGTAAGCTTGAGAAAAAAGGGAAAAAAGAAAGCCAGAAGGCAGGATTTTGCTAATATTTTTTGTCTCTCTCTGTTCAGGTCTCTTTAGCAAGCCTTATAGCCGGCTCACTTGGAAATACCAAAATGGGACCCATGAAATCCCTTAAAACCCTGAGAGCCTTGAGACCATTAAGGGCATTGTCACAATTTGAAGGGATGAGGGTAAGAGTAAATAAAGCAATCACTGAAGCCTCTCTGTGTGAACATCAAGCATGTAAAAGGATCCTATTTCATATGGGTTTGCTTTCATTATGGTGCTGCATAATAGTTAAGGTTACATTTGAGTTAAATGTTAAGAGGAGTTTGTTTTTAAAACTTTATTTTGTAAAAAAAATCAAATCATGCTCAAAGTTTATATATATTTGGATTTTTCATGGTGGTTTGATGAACAATGAATTGAAACACAGAGAACAATAAGATTTCAAAAATCATTCCTTTTTGGCTGATTTTCACTGGATTTTCTCTTGAATTCAGACATAGAAACAGTCACAAAGTGTTTGAGGATTTTTTTTAAAATAATGAAGAAAAGTAATCTTACACTTATAAATCTGGAAAATTTATAAGTAAATTTACAAAAAAAATAAAATCCTCTAATATACTTCAGTTTAAATCTGGTATGCCATAATTAGCTTGTAACCATATGACTTGTGTTCATTGTTTGTCCAAACATTTTCTTGTTCACTTTTGCATTTTCTTGGTGAATTAATATTTCTCCAGGAGTTCTCGTATCTGTTTATTTTTGTTTGATAATCTTACTAAGTCCGCAAAACTCCCATTGACTTCAGTTGGACCAGGATTTGACCTGTAGTGATCTGGATTTGTTATTTTTGTATTTCCTTTTTATCATTACATGATTAGCAAATGATTATAATTGTATTCTATATCAGCAAGTGCACCACTAATACTGCAGATCACATGGCAACACACGATACGTAGGTTAGCAGTGTAATTAACATTTACAAATCCATCTAAGATTTCTGATGCAGACACACATAGCAAGGTACCATATTATTTTTTCAATAAATGAAAGAAAAAACTATATTCGAAAACACAAAATCCTTAATTGTGCTAAGGAAAGGTATAACTGTATTAATTATGTAATAATTATATGAACTCAGGAGACTGGTATTAAGATAGGGAGCCTATTATATCTATATCAAATTCAGATTCAATATATGTTTGTATGAACTAAAAGTCATTAATATCTATAGGATGTTCAATAAGTTGATGGCTCCATTCCTGTTTCTAAAGTAAAATTGTCTGCATTAAGGTAACAAAACCACCAGAACAATTGGAACCCTTGTTGATACTACTTGCAGAAAGGTCAAGAATTCAGTGAACGTGGAAACTGGAGATAAATCCAACTCACAATATTCAGATCTGAACTTTCCCAGAGTTTGGAGAAGTTTAGACCAGAGATTATGGTTCAACCCATAAGAGAAAGACGCACCAACAGTGAAGTTTGAAACTGGATTAAGATTTCCTTAAAACTTACCACAGGTTGTTTAAAGGTTTTGGTTTAGACCCATCTCTAATGCAAACTAGATAATCTCCCCTCTCCCTCCTTCTTCCCCCAACATCGTAATTGCACTTCAAGGTTGAGACATTAGTTGGATACTATGGGGAAATTTGTGCTATCATTAACTAATCTACATACATGTTCTATGGATATAAGAATTCCATCTCTAGGCCTGCCAGTTCTGACCCTTTCACTAGGACTAAATTCACTAATTAATAATCATAATTAATAATGAAAATAATTTACCTTGGTCACTCACAATATGGTATTGTACACACTAGTGATAGAAAAAGCTGGGGATTCACCTGAGTGTCTAAAGTCATACTTTGCCCCCTGAATCTTATATGTCACCTAACTACCATGACCCTTGCCTTCAGCATCTCTGGGTTACATTGCAAAAACTCACACTACCTGAAGCTAGTTGTGAAGGACACACTATACTGATTTACAATAACTGAGGATCTGATCCATACTGTGGCCTTCATGATTACCTGTTGTGAATGTGTAATGTCATTTTTCTGTGATATGTAGAGAAATGCAAAAAGGACAGAGAAATACTATATTAATAGTTTAGAAGAAAGTGAAATACTGTGATATGATGGAGAATAAGACCTGGCATTTTCATACTCAGTTTCAAAAATAGATAAAATTTCATTTTTGTGAATCAATATCACTTTGTCTTAGGCTCAGAAATGTCAGAGAAAAAGAGAGAAAAAAAGGCTTGTGTCAGCAGAGAAGATCCTAATTTTGTTACAGGAGTGGGTGGGTGAGATTCTGTGGCCTGCGTTGTGCAGGGGGTCGGACTGGATGATCATAATGGTCCCTTCTGACCTTAAAGTCTATGATAGCCTGAAAGAACTGAGCAGCAAACTCATTCAAATATAGACTGGAATTTATAGAAAGACTGTTAGATCATTGTATATGAATGCTAATGTGAGTCATTGGCATACAGTAGTAACAAAAACTTAGTAATATAGTGGGAAAACAATTACATGTTGTGATAGAGGGTGTAAATGCATTTTTAGATGTCTTTTATGTTAAGTCAAAGGCTTTTATATTTTACATGGCAGGAAGGCTTTGAATCCTGGATAACTGGTCCAAATCTGTCCTCAGTTAAAACTGTGCAACCCCTGTTGAATTCCACAGGAGTTGCACAGGGGTAGCTGAAGGCAGTTTTGTAACTAACATATCTACTGCTTTTCTTTGTTCTGCTAAGTATTATCTCCAAATCATCACCTATATGTGGGAAGATCCTACATAAGGAATTTGCCACTGCTCTTCCTATGGAAGAGCCAGGAGATCAGTTCCAGATCTTGGTAGATCCAGTGAAGGTGATGTCTGTCAGTGTGGGGGTCCTGTGTCTCTAGACAGGTTCCACAGCTGCTGCTTCCCCTCCCAGTCCTTTGGCCCCACAGCGTCAGTTGGAGAGCCTCTCCTGGGATAACGGGAAAGAAAGGAAAATGTGTTGTAGAAGTGGCATTCTATATACCTGTCTCTTGCAAGCTGTACTATCTGTATACTACAAGTCTGATGTGATATCTTTGTCTGTTGGCCATAGAGGAAAGTTGATACGGGGGATTGTCAATCATCTAAACTGTCTGTAGACAGTAAGATGTTGGTGTCTCTGATCTATAAAAGGGAAGTGAACCAAAAGATTATATACAATTGTCTGTAGGCCATTTGCGATTGGTGGTTCATGATGATTTGTGATCCAGACTGGAAATTATGTGAAACAGGACAGGTAGAGATGAGGGTTTTTGGTGTATCAGTAAAGGCAGCATGAGGATATAGGGGTATAGTTAAGACAGCTTGTACAATCTTAACTACAGATTTGTCCTCTATTTATATAATCCCGGTGTTCTAAAAATGTTGTTCTGAATCAAGATATTTATTTATAACCTTAACATTATCATAAAGTTTTTGTCTGGGAAATGCTATAGTTTCTGCACAAACCATATAGACCTTGAAGGCTTTTCTGGGCATGTCAAACCCAGCAAGCACAAACTTGACTAGTACAATATTTGAGGTTTCTTTCCTGCTCTCTCCTCTAATTTGAAAGTTGTATGAAACTTGTAAGGAAACAAGAAAAGCTTGCCTGGGTTTGGGATTTGTTATGAATCTGAAATGTATTCACTGGAATATAGGGTGAGTGTCATGCTATACTTGCACTCAGTTTAGGACAGTCCTACTCCACCCTCCCAATAAGCCCAGGCTCCCACTTTAACTTTAGATATATCTTAGAGGGGATTCCCAGTAGCCTGCTTGACCGCTCTTTTTCAAAGTGTTGCCTTTGGGAAGCTAGCTTGCCCCACTGGCTGTGACCTGTGTGAAGGTAAAGGATCACCCATATCCTACTTTTGGGGGGTACTGGGTTCTACTCTGCCCTTTACTGGGCAATGAACAGAAGTTCCTGTCCTGAGCGGGAAGTGACAGCTTTGACATCTGTTTCCTCTATGAGATCATTAGTAGAAGTTACTCCTTGAAACACCTAGCCAGATGTAATGAGATCCACTTTGGAAGTTAGTCTCCATCATGCATGAGTCAGAATGTGTAATTTATGCAAGTTAGTCACAATTTCTGCTATTTCCCCAGGAGAGATTATGGTAGATCTTATTTTTTTCATACCAGTGGAACTTGTAAGTGTGCTCAAAACTTACATGCTGAATTGACACTTTCCAGGTTACTCTTGAATTGTGCAAAACTTCTCATGGAAGTTACAATATCTGCAGCAACCTTTACATATCTACCAGAGATTCATTATTGATCCTCTAATAACTAATTTTCCACACAACTTGAATAAATGTCATGCTGACATGAATAAAAACAGACCGCTATATTAATCCTCATGAAGAAATAATGTGTATTTAGAATCTTGTTCAAAAGAAAAAAAGAAAAAAAAAGGAAGCTCCAAAAGTGAATATTCTACCATTACATTCAAATACTTTATTGTTATTTAATAGTGCCCCCAAGTGCACTAGGTGTTTCACAGAAAACAAAAAACAGGTTCCTGTCCAGAAGAACTGACAATCGAAGGGCCTGATCCTGCCAACACTATAGATGTAAGAATCTTTACTCAAAATAGTTGCCACTTCAGTAGAAGTATTTATGAGAGTAAAGTTACTCATGTGTGTAACTGTTTGCTGAAATGACACGGGATTGCTTAGATTTTCAAAACAGTTGAATGTAGCAAATAGCTGTTTAAGGCTTTGCACATGTGAATACCTATAGTAACTGCATGTTTTTCTTTCATTTCTCCTAAGGTGGTTGTGAATGCCTTAGTAGGTGCCATCCCTTCCATCATGAACGTTGTGCTTGTCTGCCTCATTTTTTGGCTCGTTTTTAGTATCATGGGAGTGCACCTATTTGCAGGAAAATTTGGAAAATGCGTTAACTTGACTGAAGAAAAATCAGAATTAAATAAAAGTATTAAGAACAAACAGAATTGCACAGCCTATAATGACACACACAAAATATATTGGACAAATGGTAAAGTCAACTTTGATCACGTTGGTTCTGGTTATCTGGCTCTTCTTCAGGTGGTAAGTTCTATTTTGCTGACTGGCACATTGTGGGGTGGGGTGGAATCAAGGTTTTTCCAGTTGCTTACCCACATCTGCAAGGAGTGGGAAGCAGTGGTCCTGCAGAGCCTGCTGTCCCATCCCCTCCCCATGTTCAGACTGGCAATATGGTTAGCCCATTCAGGGTCCCTTCCTCCAGTGTGTGCACATATAGTGTCCAGTGGTGAGCTACGAACTTATGATGTAACCATTTGAAAATGTGCTCCTCTGGTTTGCAGCTATCTCCTGGGAAGATGGTATGAAATGTTTGTTATAATTTCATTAAACTAAATGCAAAATTATCTCCTGCACTGAGTAAAGCTCAGTGCAGAAATGGGAAGTGGGGAGAGAGCATCAGTGGGCTGGTTCCAATTCATTGATTTGTTGTGATCAACCCCCACCCCAAAACAATTTACAGCTGTTGTCAGGCAGCTTTGTTTTTTGTCACTAGATTTGGATCCTTAATCAACTATAACTTATGGAGGACTGCTGTAGTGGAACGTCACTGCAACACATGTCCTCCTTGCCCCTGACATGCTTTCTACACTGGTATGGGTGAGTGGGGGTCGACACCTAGAGCCCAACTCTGTCACAAACATGTCAGTAAGGAGATCGCCTACACCAGAGGAATTCTGTGCTGGGCATTTGTGGACAGACTATAGTCCCTTTGCACCATCTCAGAAGCACAAAGATATTGTAAACAGGCTAAACAATCTCATCCTCAAAGTTTAATATGATTTTAATAATTTTTCTGTTATTCTAGGCAACATTTAAAGGTTGGACAGACATTATGTATGCAGCAGTAGATTCACGAGGGGTAGGTCATGAAAATTAAAATGTTCTCTCTTGTAACCATCTCTCCAATTTTTACTTGTGTTTTGTAATTTTCATGCTTATTAGTGTTAGTGAACACAATGTGTAGATCTAGTCTGTTCATTGTTTTTTTGGTGCTATCTACTCACTGAGCTAAAATGGATGAGCATCCATTTAAAATAAATGGTCAAGCATTATATATTAATTATTATTATATTTAATGTATGTATTATTGTGCCACCTAGAGACTCCAGTCAGGATTAAGGTTCCACTGCATTAGATGCTGTACAAACACAGAGGAAGATACAGTCCTGCATCCAAAGGACTTAAATTGAACAAAATTACCAGCATATCTTCTGAGGAAATGAATGAGCTCAAATGTAACCACATTCAAAAATAATTTTCTCGGGTTTATTTAAAACTTTGTTGCTTTTTTCCAACAGTAATAGAATAACTTTTCAACCAGAGGTTTAAATTGGAAGAACACATCTAGGCCAAGATTCTCAAAAGCAGAAGCTTGAAGTTAGGCTCCTAAATAAGATTTTCAAATGTTGGGCGCTCAACAGTTCTTCTTCGAGTGATTGCTCATGTGTATTCCACAATAGGTGTGCCTGCTCACCACATGCACTGGTGCTGGAAGATTTTCCCCTAGCAGTACCTGTGGGGGGGAGCGCCCCCCGCGATCCCTGGAGTGGCGCCTGCCTGGCGCGGTATAAGGGGAGCTGCGCACTCCCCCCAACCTCAGTTCCTTCTTGTTGCCAGTGAAGGTGCGTCGGAACTGCTCTGCTCCAGCTTTGCTGGAGCTCGTCCCCAGAACTGTTCTATCGTTCAGCGTTAGTACCTGTAGTTAGTTAGCTGTTTAGTTAGTCAGTGAGCCCGGGCCGGGGCATATCCCACGCTCTGGGGTTTAAGTTGTGCGGCTCTTGTAGGCGTTCTATGCCAAGAAGTGACCCGCATGCAGACTTTTTGCGCTGCTTGGGAGAAACCCATATCAGTGAAAGGTGCAAGATTTGCAAGTCGTTTAAGCCTCGGACCAAAAGAGAGAGGGACATTAGGCTCCGGGCCATCCTGATAAAGTCGGCACTGACCCCAACCCCAGCACACCGCTCCGAACCAGTACCCGGCACCCCAGCGTCAGTACGCGGCGACCCTCCAGTGCCATCGACCAGCTGGCACCATTCCCCGTCCATGGGTCACGCCAAGAGGGCCAGGAAGACTCCCTCTTTGCAGAGGCACCGAGGGAAGTCTGGGGACATAGGCTAGCCCCATGTCGGGCAGTCCTCAATCCCCACCAGACCCCAGGCCTCCGACTCAAGTTGAACAGAGTATCCTGGCCCCTTCGGGACAGGCCTCTCCAGACGTCTGGATGCCGTCCACGCCTGAAGCCCTCCAGGCAGCCCAGGACGTCATGTCCATGCCGGTGCCCGGAGTGCCACCAATGTCGGCCCCGCACTCCAGAGGCAAGCTGCCACTGGGATCTCCACAGTTGCCTCCAGCCCAGTACCGGTCTTGGTCAAGGGAACGTTCCCGACGCCAATCACCGCCCAGTGACCGCTCGAGGCAGAGTCCAGGTGGATTGCCCTCGACACTGACCAGACTGTCTGGCTGGGTCCCATCCGGCCGGGACTCGCAGCACCACTCGTCCTCAAGGAGCGAATATCAAGGGGACTGCGGCGTCGCCGTCAGTCCTTATCTCTGAGAGGGTACCGCAGTCGGTCATGGCATGATCGTCGATGCCGTTCCCGCTCAGACTCCCGCTCCAAGTCTCCGCCAAGACATTGCAGCCCCGGGGGTCAATCGCCGTCGTCTCGCCATCGCGGGTCTGCCCGTCGAGGCCGTTCGTGGAGCAGCTATTACCATCGGTACCAGTCCTCCACGTCGAGGTCGCGGTCCTGTGGCCGTCGTAGATCCTGGCACTGCCGCTTCTCCCGGTCCAGAGACATCAGCAGATCTTACGCCAGCCTGGTCTCCATTTGTTGCAGTCCTTCAATGGACCAGGCCAGCCAACCCAAACAGTCAGACCCGCCAGTGCCACAGCAGGTGCAGTGGCACCAAGCATCATGGCAGGCCCAATGGTATCAGTGGGCACCGTGGCCTCCGGCGCAGCCCCCAGTGGGAACTCACTTGGTGGTCGGAGCTTCGGAAGCACTATCGACCTCCCTCTCCAGACCTCCGAGAAAGGAGTTGGTCGGACGTATGTCCTCGGCACCGTGCCCAGAGTCTGACCAAGTGGCGGACCCTCCGGTGCCAGCCGACACCCAGAGCACCACACCAACCTCTTCGCCCCACCCGGAGGAGGCGATTGCAGCCCCGCCCCCCTCCGTCCCGCAGGAGGACTTCAGGGCCCACCAAGCACTCTTAAAGAGGGTGGCAGAAAGCCTACACTTCCAGGCAGAAGAGATGGAGGAGCCCTCAGACTCCCTGTTTAACGTATTGTCCCCATTGGCACCCCGCAGGGTGGCCTTGCCTCTCCATGAAGGGGTGGCTAAGATTTCAAATGCCCTGTGGCAAACACTGGCCTCGTTGGTCCCCATCTCTAAAAAGGCGGAACGCAAGTACTTTGTACCCACTAAGGGGCATGAGTACTTGTATCCCCACGCAGCGCCCAACTCCCTGGTGGTCGAGTCAGTCAACCACAGGGAACGGCAGGGTCAGCCAGCCCCGACCCCAAAGAACAAAGACTCAGAGACTGGAGTCTTTCGGAAGGAAAATTTATTCATCTTCGAGCTTCCAGTTACGAGTGGCGAACCATCAGGCTCTCCTGGGCTGGTACAAATTCAATCTGTGGGGCTCCCTGCCTAAGTTTGAGGACTCCCTCCAGGAGCGCGATTGGAAGGAGTTCAAGGTGCTAGTGGAGGAAGGGGCAGCAGCCACTAGGGGGTACCTGCAGGCAGCCTCGGATGCTGCAGACATGGCTGCATGATCAATGGCCTCTGCGGTGCCCATGAGATGGGCGTCATGGCTCCTGCTCTATGGGCTGTCCAGCGAGGCGCAGTCTTCCATTCAGGATCTCCCATTTGACGGGAAAGCTCTGTTTGTGGAGGAAACAGATACAAGGCTGCATGGCATGAAAGACTCCTGCACGACCCTCCAGACTCTGGGCGTCTATGTCCCGGCTCTGGCAAAACCTAAGTTCAAGCCGCAGCAAACTCCTGCCCAGGCCGCTCTTGCGAAGTATGAGGCTGTCCATAAGAAGCAGCGGGACCATAAGAGATGCCCTCAGAGGCAGTTTTGGCCTACCCCCCCTGCTTGGGTCCTCCAAGGGCAAGCAGGTAGGGAAAAGGCGTTTTTGACGGGACGCTCAGGGGCACCCCGCCAGTCCTCATCAGGGATCCACCCCCAATAAAGCTTCCCTTCTCCAACCGGCTGTGTGCTTTCCTCCCAGAATGGTCGCAGCTAAGCTTGGACCGATGGGTCCTCAACACCATCTCCCGGGGTTACACCCTCCAGTTTACTTCCTCCCCACCCAACCACCCCCCCATCCCTCTTGGGGGACCCCTTGCATGAAGCTCTGCTTGAGCAGGAGGTGGGGCGGCTCCTAGGACTAGGAGCGATAGAGGCGGTGCCCAAGGAGTTCATGGGCAAGGGGTATTACTCCCATTATTTCCTTATCCAGAAAGCCAAAGGGGGGCTCAGGCCCATCCTGGACCTCCGAGGTCTGAACCAGTACATGGTGAAGCTCAAGTTCCGCATGGTCTCCCTGGCCTCCATCATCCCCTCCCTGGATCCCGGGGACTGGTACCCCGCCCTCGATCTACAGGATGCCCACTTCCAGATCCACATATTCAAGGGGCACAGGCACTTCCTCCGTTTCGTGGTGGGACAGAATCAATCATTACCAATTCACGGTCCTCCCATTTGGTTTGTCCACTGCCCCCAGGGTGTTTACAAAATGCATGTTGGTGGTAGCGGCCTACCTCAGACGACGGGGGGTCCAGATATTTCCCTATCTGGATGATTGGCTCTTCAAGGGCACCTTCCAGTCACAGGTGAGGGATCACATGGCGCTCCTCCTGTCCACGTGCACCGTCTTGGGCCTGTTGGTAAACAACACCAAGTCCATGTTAGTCCCGATCCAACGCATAGAGTTTATTGGGCCGCTCCTGGATGCAGTGTCGGCCAGGGCCTCTCTCCAGCCAGACAGATTCGAGATCCTGAAAGACCTCATCGACTCGGTTCCCGGTGACAACAGCCAGGGTTTGCCTGCAACTCTTGGGTCACGTGTCGGCATTCACGTACGTGGTTCGTCACGACAGACTCTGGATGAGGCCCCTCCAGCTCTGGTTGGCCTCAAAGTTCTCCCAGGCCATGGACAGGATGGACAAAGTCTTCACCATGCCGGATTCTGTGATCGCCTCCCTACAGTGGTGGTCCACCCCAAACAACATGCTCCAAGGGGTCCCATTCAGGGACAGGGCCCCGTTGTTGGAGCTGGTGTCCGATGCGTCGGACCTGGGTTGGGGGGCCCATGTGGGGAACTTTCAGACCCAAGGCATATGGTCAGCTCAAGACCAGACTCTACATATAAACGTCAAGGAGCTCAGGGCGGTGCAGCTGGCATGTATGGCCTTCCGCTCTCACCTGGAGGGCAAGGTAGTCAGGGTCCTCACAGACAACACGGCCTCGATGTTCTATATCAACAGGCAAGGCGGAGCCCGATCCTTTGCCGCGAAGCCCTAAGGCTGTGGGACATTTGTATAGCCCACGACATCCATCTGAAGGCCTTCCACCTACCTGGCGCCAGGAACGAGAGGGCAGATCACTTGAGCAGGGACTTTTCTCGCAACACGAGTGGTCCCTCCACCCGGAAGTAACCCACCGGCTCTTCCGAAGGTGGTGAACTCCCCAGGTGGACCTATTCGCGAACTAGCAATGCCCCCCAGTTCTGCTCCGGGCGGGGGGAGGGGGGGCGGGCCTGGAGAGGGGCGCTATCTCCGATGCCTTTCTCCAGTCCTGGTCATGCCGGCTTCTCTACGCCTTTCCCCCGTTCCCTCTAATCAGCAGGGTCCTGGAGAAGATAAAGTCAGACAAGGCCCGGGTCCTCCTAATTGCCCCGGTGTGGCCCAGGTAGCATTGGTACAGGACCCTCATGGGCCTGGTGGTAGCTCCGCCATTGCCACTCCACCCGGACCTGCTCTCTCAGGACCAGGGCCGCCTCCTCCATCCCAACCTAGCGGCTCTTTACCTCACAGTGTGACTGCTCGGTGGTTAGGTGGAGAGGAAGGGACGTGCTCAGAGCAGGTTCAGCGCATCCTCCTCGAAAGTAGACAGCCCTCCACTCGCCGCGCTTATTTGGCGAAGTGGTCCCAGTTTTCTAGGTGGGCGGCTGACTGGGGTGTCTCCCCCGGTGACCACCCTGATACAACTTATCCTTGATTACCTCCTTCACCTGAGGGCCCAGGGCCTGGCACCCTCGTCAGTCAAGGTGCACCTGGCAGCCATATCGGCCTTCCATCCATCGGTGCAAGGGCACATGGTATTTTCCTGTGCTATGACTGGCCAGTTCCTTAAGGGTTTGGACCACCTTTTTCCGTATTCTAGACCCCCGGTCCCGAAGTGGGACCTAAACCTGGTGTTTGGCTCGTCTCACGGGGCCCCCGTTTGAACCACTGGCCACATGCTCCTGGTCTCACCTCTCATGGAAGGTGGCCTTCCTGGTTGCAATCACGTCGGCCAGGCGAGTCTTGGAGCTCAGGGCCCTGACCTCCGAGCCGCCGAACATGGTCTTTCATAAGGACACGGTCCAGCTCCACCCACACCGCTTATTCTTCCCGAAGGTGGTCTCCACCTACCACATGGGTCAGGACATTTTTCTACCGGTCCTCTGCCCCAAGCCTCATGCATCCAGTGAGGAGCGCCGTCTCCACACGATCAATGTGCGGCGGGCTCTGGCTTTCTATCTCGAGCAGACTAAGCCGTTCAGAAAGTCCTCACAACTTATCGTCGCCTCGTCTGAGTGCGCGAGGGGCCAGCCAATTTCCACTCAGCGGCTTTCCAATTGGATCACTTCGTGCATCCGTTCCTGTTATAAGCTGGTGGGTGTCCCCCCGCCACCCATTGTGAGGGCACACTCGACTCGGGCGCAGGCCTCCTTGTCTGCCTTCGTGGCCCACGTCCCCATCCAGGACCTTTGTAGGGCCGCCACATGGTCTTCGGTTCACACGTTCACCTCGCACTGTGCGATCGTCCCCCAGACCAGGGATGACGCTGGGTTCGGCAGGGCTGTCCTCCGTCCTGGGAACTTGTGAACTCTTACCCACCTCCAACAGATATAGCTTGGAATCGCCTATTGTGGAATACACATGAGCAATCACTCGAAGAAGAAAAGACAGTTACCTTTTCTGTAACTGATGTTCTTCGAGATGTGTTGCTCATGTCTATTCCACATCCCACCCTCCTTCCCCTCTGTCGGAGTTGTCTGGCAAGAAGGAACTGAGGGTGGGGGGAGCGTGCAGCTCCCCTTATACGGCGCCAGGCAGGCGCCACTACAGGGATCACAGGGGCGCCCCCCCCCCCCCCCCCCCCCCCGAGTACTGCTAGGGGAAAAACTTCCAGCACCGGTGCATGTGGCACACATGCACACCTATTGTGGAATAGACATGAGCAACATATCTTGAAGAACACCAGTTACGGAAAAGGTAACTGTCTTTTCCCACCGACCTCAATCAAAGCTGTTGGTTGCTCCTCGATACCTTTGAAAATCATGCCAGTAAGATGTGATTCAACTCTCATTGAAGTCAATAAAGACTCCTGTTGACTAAGTCATGATATTTATTTTAAACAGATGGTTAAAAAGAGAAACATTTTCCTATGTGTCCTTGCATGAAGACAGAAGTGCAACTCCTCTCACTCTCCTTAAAATAATTCATTCTTCAAGCTTTTAATTTCTTTGTCAGCAGCGTAAGTGGAATGGGAGATATTGTCCTACAAGTTTCTTAGCACAAGTATAATCAACATCAGTGTCAGTTGCAGTGATCTCTTCCATACGTGGACAGAGAAGACCTTAAAGATTGCAGAGAAATCAAAACAATAATACCACTAAAATACATTGGGCCAAATTCACTGCCCATTTACTTCATTGACAACAGAAAATTTGGCATATTATTTTTAGAAGATATTTTCTGGTCACCAAGAAGGATAGTCAAGTGTTAGGAGAAACATTGCTCTCAGTAAAATTGTCATCCACATCTTCTGTGGTGTCCTTAGATTTAACTTCATCCAACAGTCACACTGCAGATTTTCTCTCCCTCTCCTCAAATGCACCCATGAAATGCAAGACTTATTTATTCCTGGGGGGATTCTGTGCCAAAAAATTCAAAATTCTGCATATTTTATTTGTCATAATAATACAGTATAATCACCCCAGTTTCAATTGTTTTGGTAATTTATTTAAACTACAATACAGAAAAAAGTCACAATAACTAGTCAGCATTTCCTAAACACATGAAAGCTAAATTACAAACACTTGGTAGCATACCCAGCATTCCAGTTATAATCCTGGATTTTCATTTAAATTACATTACAGAACACCAAACAGAAAAAAAAAATAGACTGTTATTTTAAATTGCTCAGACTTACATACATGAAAGTCATACAGTTTTGCTAATCATTGTCCTGGACCTGGCTGGGTATTTTCGGAAGTGCTTGGTTCTGATTGTCCTGACATTTTATTGACTGGTTGGTAAATGTTTTATGTGCCCTCAAAGTCTTTTTTTTTTAAATGGGTAAGTAAAATAAATCCTGAGCTGTAATCTAACCCCATTGTGCCACTATGGCACAGGAAAAAAGTGAAAAAGCACATAGATCTTTCTAGCTGAAGATTTCCTTACTGTCATTTATAAGAAGGCTCCTTTACATCACATTGGCGATGTAACAGCCTTAAAACTTTTACAGGTTTTATGCTCCTGGGGGAATTGTCTGAGAATGGGAACAGTTAACTAACAATAGGAACATTAACAATGTTACTACACAGGCAGGCTGCTACATCTGTGCCTCAGAGAATGAGCTCAATGAAACATCAACAGCAACTTTAACAATGTTACTACAGAGGCACGCTTCTACATTTGTGCCTCCAGGACATAGCCAGCCTCCTGCATAATAAGCTCTACCCTTCCATGCCACAAGCTGCAGTCGCAAGAGAGAGGGACAGATTCTCTCTCTCTCTCTCTCATTGGCACGCACATACGCCTAGCCTCTCCCCCCCACACCTCGCCAGTGATCAACCACACAGGCACGCACACCCAGCCACCACCCAGCCCCTCTCCCCCATCTCTGAGGCTGCTCCAGGCACGCTGGAATACATGCACTGAATGAGCTACCAGAGAAGAGGCGAGTCGCCCGGGAGATTTTTTTTTGCATTTTTCTGCACAGAAATATGCGGGCCATATGAATTCTACACTCCTGCAAGGGCGCAGAATTCTGTCAGGAGCACTTATTGTTGCCGACTAGAGTTTTTAACTAGACAACTTTTTTTACGATTTGTAGTGATGTAGTAAATTTGATATCCTGCAATGAACTCTGCTCGGGGGGATCGAGGCACCGATTTCAAACTCATTCTAGGAACAGAGGCATATTGTTTTCAGTCATTTTTCATCTTGGTTATCATTTTTGCAGAAAGAAAAACAGCCAAAGAAGGAATATAATCTGTACATGTACCTCTATTTTGTGGTTTTCATCATCTTTGGATCTTTCTTCACACTGAATCTCTTTGTTGGTGTCATTATTGACAATTTTAACCAACAAAAGAAAAAGATAAGTATATTGGATATGTTTCCAGACCCCTGATATATCTCTTACATGCTGTCTTCAGTGTATAGGATGCCTGCTGTACACTGAATCTCTAAAACATTTATTTACATTTATTACATGGAACAGCATCAGTATTGAATTTAACTGAGGCAGCATTACAAGTGTAAGTGCTATGAAGAGCTTCCCCTTCGCCATTCCTTTCCCATGTTTCCCTCCATGTAGCTGTTGGCTCCAGAGGCAGCACTGATTCAAGAGGCTGTGAAGTCAGCTACACAGTCCCTTGAATGCTACTTCCCCTTCCTTGGAGCTAAGCACTGTGGGACAGGGTCTGAGGAGCAGCTCTGGGATTGGGCAGTGCGCCAGAGCTAGTAAGGGCAGCAACAACAGGAGGTCCAGGGGCAGGGAACAAGTTGATCCTTCCCTCATGTGCCTAGTCATTTTCCTGCTTTCTGAGCCAGTGGAGTGCCACCACAGAACTTTTTAAAATGCATTTGGTCCCAATTAGGTACTGTGAGAAGGGTTAGTAACAGCAAGAGATAAAAGGGCAGAAAAAGAAAGAAATGTTAGCTTCCAATATTTTAGACTTGCACGGCGAGGATGTTTTTTTATAAATTTAAATTTAAAATTTTCTCATCAATAGTAACAGTATCATTATCTCCATATACTTAGGTAGACAAGACATCTTTATGACAGAAGAACAGAGAAAATATTATAACGCAATGAAAAAACTGGGATCCAAGAAACCCCAAAAACCTATCCCAAGGCCATTGGTGAGACCACTTGAGTTCTTCCAACTAAAATATTTCTAATCAGTGAAAATCCATAGTAAAATTAACTTAATCCACCCAAAAATGTATTTATTAATTATATATAATGTATTTGTTTCCACTGATGTTCAGAGAATGTTTATAGAAATTGCCAATGAAGGATTATAAAGAATACATATTTATGAAGTTCTTTGCAGAAATATTTACCATGGAATTGATTATCCTTCAGAATGGGAAGGGAATTATGCTATCATCTTTTATACTCTACCTTTCTCTAATCTATCTATCTATAATGGAATTAAATAACATTGAAACATATAAAGACTGCTAGTAAGGAAATATGCATGCCTAAGCATGGCCACATTTTCATAACTAATACTAAATACTCTTTTTTTCCCCCTGCAGAACAAATACCAAGGGTTTATTTTTGACATTGTAACAAGCGAAGCCTTTGATATTATCATCATGATACTCATCAGCCTTAACATGATCACTATGATGGTGGAAACTGATGATCAAAGTATAAGGAAGACTGACATTCTTAACAAAATCAACATGTTCTTTGTTGCCATCTTTACTGTAGAATGCATCGTGAAATTGTTGGCTCTGAGACACTACTATTTCACCAATGGCTGGAACATATTTGATTTAAGTGTGGTCATTATGTCTGTTGTTGGTAGGTAAAAATATACCAACAAGCTCAGTAATAGCCCTTTATATTTCATCACCATATATTATTTTATATGTTTCCATGCCCCCCGTCCCTACTGCTGCCATTTTGTTCCTCCCCCTGTCTGCTCTAGGAGTTGGCCGTATGGTTTTGGAAGTCCACTCCGACGCTTTCTGGGTTCCCTAGGTATCACGTTTGGACCCATGTGCATTTTTGGCACTATTAGCCATTTTGAAAAAAAAATAATTTAATTTAACTGGAAACCATCAAAAAATGAATGAATAAATATAGATTTCATGCCTTTTCCTCATGTAAGAGGAATATATGCTTTTTTATGCACTTAGTACATTTCTAACTAAGTCTATTAATCATTCTACAAAGGATGCAAAGTATTAGTGACAGAGAAAAAGTATATCCTTAAAGTTTGTTACATGTTTAAAGGGCACAGTGTTTCTAGAGACACCTTTAGAAATGTCCAAGATGGCCTTTTGTGGAATTATTCATCAAAGCACATTAAAAAGTCAATTTATTAAATGCCAATAAAAAGGACCATATATGTAGATTTCTTTATCAAAGTTATTACAAAACCTATGCAAAATTATCAATTAGCCTTTTTTCCACTAGTCTTAAACATGTCTGCTCCCCCACACTATTAGACATATTTGCAGTAGCAATAAGAGTAGTGGGACAAATGTATCCTAATCTCTTCCTCTTTCCCTTTCTACCTCCTCTGTGATGACATGAGGGTGAAAACAGACAAGCAAAGAAGTGGGTCCCTGTAAAACCCATAATGATTAGGAGAATTTTAAAATGTATCTTCCCTAAAAGAGAAGTATTTCTCTATAGTGCATGTTGCTTCAAGGACTTCCCAGAAAATAGCAAACATAAATAAGTAGACCTAAAGGGAGAACAAGAGAGAGAAAACCGTTCTTTTATCATGTGAAAAAAATGTATAGATATTTCCATCAAGTTTTGACCAAATGATGTTTAAAAGAGCACCTTTTTCTTTTTGTTGTCATATGAGACTACTTGGGGCTGCAATGGAACACTTTAGAAAGGCCAGAATAAGTTTAGCCTTTCGTTGCATAAGGACACCCCTGGACTAATCCATCTGCAGGGATTGAATCTGGGACCTCTGGATCGAAAAGAATAGACTCTACTGCTAGTGAAAATGGACCTTCTCCATTAGTTTGGTGGAATTATCAGACTAATAAAGTAGTCAAATCACAAGAGAGGGGCCAAAAGCCACACTGTTAGCATGATGTCAAGTATCAAAGGGGTAGCCGTGTTAGTCTGGATCTGTAAAAACAGCAAAGAGTCCTGTGGCACCTTATAGACTAACAGACGTATAGGAGCATGAGCTTTCGTGGGTGAATACCCACTTCTTCGGATGCATGTAGTGGAAATTTCCAGGGGCAGGTATAACTATGCAAGCAAGAGTGAGTAAGGCTAGAGATAACGAGGTTAGTTCAATCAGGGAGGATGAGGCCCTCTTCTAGCAGTTGAGGTGTGAACACCAAGGGAGGAGAAACTGCTTTTGGACTCTTTGCTACTGTTAGCATGGATTACACTTATATTTACTTTATCTGTTTCTGTCTATCTTGCTTACATGGTTCTCATCTAGGCATCTGAGTGCCTATGATTCTGGTGTCATGTTTTGGTTTGTTATTTGAGCTTTGATTTTTTTCAACCTTTAGGACCAAATGTTAAAACACAGTCACATAACCTACACACCCAGTGACTGTGCAAAATGCTGTACATAAAACACCTACTTACGTATACATGTGTGTTTTCCTTGTGCAGCAGCTCACAGATTTTGTGGGCACAACATACAATTCCATAAAGGTGTGTTATTTTTTTAACTTCTAAAGTTTTACAGATAAGCCATTAATCTTTTTTTAAAATATGTAAGTTTTCCTGTAAGAGTTGTCAATGCTAGATCATCAACGTATTAATGTCAGGGAGATATCAGTTTTACAAATAATATTATTTCTTTCAGTTACTAATTCAGAAGAAATTAGAAATTCTAACTGATTGATCCTTTTTTTTTCTTTAGGTACTTTGCTTTCTCACATTGTTAATGCATTTGAAAATTACTTCTCACCTACACTCTTCAGAGTCATTCGGTTGGCTCAGATTGGACGAATACTAAGACTTGTCCGAGCTGCCAAAGGAATTAGAACTCTCCTTTTTGCCTTAATGATGTCCCTTCCTGCTTTGTTCAACATTGGCCTCTTACTTTTTCTGGTCATGTTTATTTACGCCATTTTTGGCATGGCTAACTTTGCTTATGTTCAGTGGGAGAGTGGGATTGATGACATGTTCAACTTCCAAACCTTTGCTAATAGCATGCTCTGTCTCTTCCAAATCACAACATCTGCTGGCTGGGATGGTCTTCTCAGTCCTATTTTAAACACTGGACCTCCGTTTTGTGATCCAAACATACGAGATGTTGTGGGAGAATGTGGTAAACCTGTTGTGGGTATTATTTTCTTTGTAAGTTACATCATTATATCATTTCTCATTGTTGTAAACATGTATATAGCTGTTATTTTAGAGAACTTCAATGTTGCCACTGAGGAAAGTACAGATCCTGTGGGTGAAGATGACTTTGATATGTTTTATAAAATCTGGGAGAAGTTTGATCCTGAAGCAACTCAATTTATTGAGTATTCTGTACTTTCAGACTTTGCAGACGCTTTGGCAGAACCTTTACGCGTAGCCAAACCAAACAAAATTGAGCTCATAGCAATGGACCTTCCCTT